AGGCTTCCCTTTCTTACCGTCTATAGCCAATTTACACTGCAAATTCTTTCCATCAATCACTTTAATCGGATCAGCAAGTGCAGCTTGAGCACCTTCAGAAGTCTTATAAACAAACAGTGCAAATCCTCTTGATTTACCAGTAACTTTATCAAAACCCAAAGGACCTTCTTCAATATCTCCATAAGCCAGAAACTGATTCAACAGTCTATCCGCAGGCATATCAAACGGCACATTCGCAACATAAATCTTCCTCATCGATATATCCGAAACATGAGCATTCGTCGTACCTTGATTCCCAGCAGCAGCAAGCTGCGTCACCGTAACTCTCCCATCAATCTTCTTAGATGGCTCTTTCAAAGCTAACAAAGCTCCATCAACATGCTTAAAAGTCACAAAACCATACCCTTTTGATTTCCCAGTAACCTTATCCAATATCACAATAGCTTCTTCAAGATCTCCGTAATTTGAGAAAAGCGAACCCAAACCTTCCGTCGTAGTCTCCGCCGCGAGGCCACGGATGAACAGCTTCCTCTGCGAAATATCCGAGTCGGCGAGTGATCGAACAATCTCCAGAACATCGTGATGACGTACAATAGCTTCTTGTAAGACATCGAGAAGCTGATCAGTAGAAAAACGCTCGATAATCTTCCTCACGTCTTGTGGATTCAATCGAGTCGAAATCGCACCGTTGATTCCATCGTTTATCATCCCCATGCCATTCTCATCGAGTCTTCGCTTCTTCAACATATCCATGATCGGAATCTCTGTAGAAAGATAAACTTTTCGCCTAAAATCCTTAACCCTAGTATCGAGCCAGAGAGATAGAGAGAGAGGTACACGACGAAGGGTTAACAAAAAAAAAAGAAAAAAATCCCTTTTATAGCACTAATTGGGCTTTTCGTGGTGACTATAGCCTGGCCCAATAAATTTAAAATCTTAAAGGCCCATTAATGGCCCATTATTGTTTTCTTCGTCTTCCTTATCTATTTATCTTTCTCTGTGAACTCTTCTTCTTCTTCGTTAATGGCTCTCGCCGGTAAAGTACCTTAGAGTTTGAGAAAAAGATAAAATTGACCGGAAATTTTCCTCCGCTTTCATCTCTGTGCCGGAAATGTCGCTACATTTGTGAGTGCTTATCCTCAAGCTTTTCACTTTGTGATTTGAAATAATCTGTGAAACTGAGGAGACGAAATCGCTTCTATTTTTTTTTTTATTTGTTCATGGGTTGATTAGATTTGTGTAAAGATAGATTGAATTTGATTTTCTTCGAATTCGGAATTTTTGTGCAGGGGGTTATTCATGGAGATGAAATACCCAATTCAACCTGAAATTTACTGGAGGAATCTGAAAGAACCCATGATTTTGAGAATATCAAATTCACTTGCAGCTATTAGACAATTGGAGTTTAAATCTGTTGCTAGTGTAAGGTCACTGTACAATGTGTTTGATAGTTTTGCCTCAGAGGATAATAATCTGAGTGAGGCAATGGAGAAAGATACAGAAGTAGCTGATAGTTTTGCCTCAGTGAGTGATAAAGAAGAGGAAAGGAGAAGGAAGATTGGATTAGCAAATAAAGGAAAAGTACCATGGAACAAAGGAAAGAAACATAGTGAAGGTAAAGAGAAAGAGAGATCATTTTTCGGATTTATTGATGCTTTTTTTGGTGAAGTGAGTTTGATGTAAACAGATACTCGAAGACGAATCAAGCAGAGAACAATTGAAGCTTTGAGAAATCCCAAGGTGAAGTCAAGTAAGATTCAATGCAATTCAAGTGACGTTTCTGTTGTTGTGTTACATGTTCTTCTTTAGGTGAAATAAGTTTTGTTTCTCTTTCAACATCTTTCAGGTACGGAAGAAGATGTCTGAGCATCAACAACCACACAGGTAGATTTGTCAAACTGTTTTTTGATACAATGAAAATAGAAGCTTAAGTTTTTGGCTGTTGTAGTGATGAAACTAAGGAGAAGATAAGAGTTTCGGTGAAACAAGTTTGGGCACAACGGTCAAGGTCCAAGCGATTAAAGGACAAGTTTACGTCGTCTTGGTCAGGAGGTATTGCAGAAGCTGCAAGGAAAGGAGGAAATGGGGAAGTAGAACTCGATTGGGACAGTTACGAAAGAGCAAAGCTAGAGATATCTTCTGAGCTGCGTCAAGAGAAAGCAAGAACAAAGGAAGAAACCAAGATGAGAGCAGAAGCCAGGACCGAGAAGAAGATGAGGAGAGTTGCAGAAAGAAAGAAAGAACGCAAAGAGAGAGAGCGACGAAGAGAAGGAGAGGTTCGTAAACCAAAGCAGAACAGAGAGAATGCAACCATTGCCTCACGGTCTAAACTGAACAAGAGACTCACAAAGGTATGTATATATAAACTATTCCTTGAACTTCTCGACAAAACAAGAAACTCACTTGATGATTCTTTGGCAGATTCATAAGAAGAAAACAAGACTAGGTAAAATCGCTATTGGAACGGATAGGGTAGTATCAATTGCAGCTAAATTGGAGAAGCTAGATTTGGAACTGATAAGGAAAGAAAGAAGAAGAGGAGATATCTCACTCGCTGACCAGATCCAAGCAGCCAAGAACCAAAGAGGGAATGATGTTTTATCAAGAAGATTTGGTCTTTTTGCTATGAGTTCAATGGATTTTGATTAACTCTTTGCAACTCTTGTTCAATAGATTTTGATTAACTTAAAGCCTTTTTCTTATTCAAGTCACTCTTATCTAAGATACTCATCTCACTGAGAGTTTTACAAAGTGTTGCCTTAGCAAGCTGAATTCCTTTCTCGCGCACGTAAAATTTCTCCACGATCGCTGCGTGCAAACTCAAGTGAGGTTCCTGGACCCCTGCCCGTTATGAGATTGCCATCCACTAAGACTCTATGCTCGATCTGTGATCTGACTCTTCCCTAGTTTTAAAATTTTAACGGTATGAAACTTTCTCGCTTTGTTTGTACCTTGTAAGCCATTTGTATAGCTCTCCCCATTAAACTAACAATTCTCCAGCTAATTGGATTATCAATTATGGTGCCATCATTTAATTAAAGTTTGGTTGACAAAAAAAAAATCATCTATTAATCTCAAATTGTTTATTTGATTAAAGAAAAGGAAAAGTGGAAATCAAATCACGTTTTTTTTTATGTTTTTGGTGGCCCTACTCTATAATAATGAGACACTAATCACTGTTTATTTTTGTTAATATTCTTATTATATAAAGTTTCATGCGTCAAACGTAATAATTAACTCAAGTCGGTTGATCGAATTTTGACACGTGTTAATTTTTTCCTAATTACATAACCAAATCTAAAAGGAATCTTATTATATAAAGTTGAAAAGAATTAAATTTAGATTTACATACCCAAATCTAAAAGAAATTATAATACGCGTTAATTTTATTCCAATTACATATCCAAATCTAAAAAGAATTATAATATGAAGTTCAAAAGAGTTTGATACATGAGCTAATTTTTGTAAATTTCAAATAAATTTATGTTTACATACCCAAATCTAAAAGAAATTATAATACATGTTAATTTTTTTTCCCAATTACATACTCAAATCTAAAAGGAATTATAATATGAAGTTGAAAAGAATTTGATACATGAGCAAATTTTTTGTAAATTTCAAATAGATTTAGGTTTACATACCCAAATCTAAAGGGAATTATAATATGAAGTTGAAAAGAATTTGGTACATGAGCAATGTTTGTAAATTTCAAATAGATTTAAGTTTACATACCCAAATCTAAAAGGAATTATAATATTTTGCCTTTATATAATAAGATTTTGTGTTTTTCACCAAAAAATTTCAAACTTAAATAATCATCACATAAATAATGTGAAAAACGTAAATTATTTAACTTTAGACCAGTTAAATAAAAAACTTATCGTCGTAGTGTGTAGTACGTCTTATCAGAAAGTGGCAGGCAAGAAATTTAAAGAAAAATAATGAGTTTATAGGAATAGACTTTCTATTACTTGATATAAAAGTTAGTGTATTTGTATTTAAAACCAATAAGAGTTTTAATTTGTTAATAATTACTTGATTAATGTCTAACTATAAGTTGATTTTAATTTAATGCAAGAAAATACTATCCAAAACTATGTGCATCATTCGCTTCTTGCAAAATTTAGGAATCAATTAATATTGTTGTTCCAGGCAGGTAACTGTTGTTTACAATTCACATCATACTTTTTCTTATTGTCTTTGTATTTTAAAGGTTGTTATGATCTAATTTTGATCTATTGCATA